TATCCGCAGACATGGCTACCTCTTATCTTTAATTCTTCACAGGAAGGAAATTAATTGAAAATATTTATATAAATAACTTTCCGCCAATTTCTAAAGTTGAAATCTCAAAATCAATTCCAAGTCAAAGTGATTTTGGCGGCAAGGAAATTTCTCTACTATACAAATAAGAATTAATTAGTTTTATAAATTTTGGAAAAAATTGAGGTACAGTTAATCACTATTTAGTTTACAATAATATCGTTTTACTCTCTAACCCATATTTACGGCATATAATGAGACAAAGAAATTATTAATAAGGATATTTTTTTTAATTAGTTCCTCGGTTTGAGAAATTTTATTACCATACTTTAATTTTTTTTAAATTAAATTACTTTTAAAAATTTATAATACATAAAAAATGAAGTTCGATACATCAGAAATTAGGACATATGTAATTCTATTTTTCACGCAGATACTTTTTCTAGACCAATAAGATATGATAATTAGTGTTTTGGGAATTTTCAATAACATATTGCTTAATATTATACTTAAAGTCAGATTACCATAACTAAAATGCAAAAAATAAGAACTCGGGTAACGTAGAGGGTAAAATTTCATGTTGCACCCAATTTTGCCCCGCCTATTGAATATGCATTCACTTTTTGAATTTTTTTTTAACTGATACCCAATTTTTGGATAACTTTAACACATATAAACTTTTCTCTTCTTCTTTACTGTTGTTTTCTTCTTCTTTGTGCCTAGAGTTTCTTCTTCTTCTTCTTCTTAGTTGCAAAGTGAGTTTGTTAAATTTATTGTCGTTGTTGACAATTTGATGATTAGGATTTGTTCTTTATGATATTTGAAAGCGATTTCAAATTTAAGCTCATTTGGAGTAGATTTTGCCATTGAATCGTGTACTGGATTATTGAAAATCGAAGAACAAATTTATGTTTCAGAACTTAAAATTCGATATCAGAATTTGCATTCAATAGATTGAACTACTTAAGATTCAAGTTACTGGAATTGCATTTGAAAGATAGAAGTACTTCATATTTGATTTATGAAGTTGCATTGAAGAGATTGAAGCTCTTAAGATTCGAATTTCTGAAGTTGCATCTGAAAAATAGAAGAACTTCATATTTGATTTCTGAAGTTGCATTGAAGAGATTGAACTACTTCGGATCTGAGCGGGTATACTCTGAAATTTTTTGTGCAATGTAGGTATAACTTCAACGATGAACCCAAAAGTGGGTATATATGAAAATGCCCCAGTAGGGGACTCTGGGAGGATTGCTCATACAGTCAAACCCCTCTATAACAGTCTCACTTGTTTCGATATTTTTGTTATAGAGTACATATATTATGACATAACATCGATTATAACATATATTATAACATAAAAATCGATTCGGCAAAAATTTGGCTTTTATATTGAATGATTGTTAAATAAGGATACTGTTATAGAGATGTGTGACTGTACATAAATAATTATTGGGCCCGGGCATAACATCACTAGTATATATATAAAGGAAAGCAAAGCACCTCATGGTCGTAATGTGTGCCTCCTTGAATTAACATCTATTCCAAGGGTATTTTTGGAATTTTGAGTTCTTTTTGGTGAGTTGTATTGCATTGTGTGGTCTAAATAATTGAGCTAGCGTTTGGCCATAGATTCTCAACTTTGTTTTGTAAAGTCTGATTTCGGTGAAGTTTGGTTTGAAGATGAAAATGTGTCTTGTACATACGTTTTCAAAACATATTTCACCTTTTTTTTTTTTGAAAAAATATATAATATGATTTATACCCACAAGTTCTAAAAACTAAAGTTCTAAAAACTATCACAAATACCCAACAGTACCTTCATCAATAACATTCATTATCATTATCACAAACCATAGTCCTGAACATAAATAAATTTAGTACAAAATTATCATTTTTATAATGAACTACATAATACACTGTCAGATGACCGGAATGACGAAACAACATTGTTACAAAAATAAATAGTTGGCTCTTTTATAAAGTACAAAAGTTTGGAGCAATTTTTAAAAATTTTAAAAAATATAATACGTAGTAAAATTTTGGGCAAAAGAACTGGTTTTGATATTTCGGTTTTGGGATTTGGTAATTTGTGAAAATATGGATAAAATTTATGAACAAACATGTATTTGCCAAAAATAATTTGAGAAAATTTTGTCAAAATCTATGGCCAAAAATATTCTCCAACTTAAGTTGTCTCATACTATTAGGTGAATATAGCCAACTTTGAGGTCTTTTAAAATATCTATAAAAAAAATCTTAATGGTACCACTATGGCATTACCACTAACAATTGACAGAGAAAAAAATTAAATTAAGATATATATATTTAGACATAAATTGTTCACATAGCCATTGGGCCTGAGCATAGCTCTGGCAACATCACCAGTATATATATAATAAAGAAAAGAGAAGATAAGCAGCTCTGTCCACTTAAATGAAGAAGTCAGATACTCTGGTTTTTACTACTACTTTTACATGTCCAACAAAAAAAAAGTACAAAGAGAACTTAAATAGCATAAATTCATAGAGCTAGTAACCATGTTCAATGAGCCTCACTAAATGTTAACACAAAGCCCAAAGCTTAGTACCAAAAGGATGTTCGATCAGATCACTGCATATCCGAATCTTTCTTTGGCTGCATATCCGAATCTTTCTTTGGCTGCATATATTATTTGCATAAGAGAGAATTAGTAGCCAGAAATGCTAAAATTGACAATTCCAACAGCACAACGGGAGATGGTATTTCTTCAAGGGCACAACACGCATCATATCCAAGAGTAAATTAATCAGGTTTTCTAAGACATTTTCCATGTTCATCTCTGCATCATCCTTGTCTGTGGAAGATGTTTCAATAAGGAAAAATAATTATAACTATAATTAATGAGATAGTAGGGTAGTGCTGATCTGATTAATTTTCCCCCATTCCATGTATTTGCAGCTTTCCACAAACAAAACAAAAAAAATCATGAGCCAATTATAGACCAGCATGCAATAACATAATCATGACAAAGCAACATGGAGCATTCATCCTGTGAAAGGTGTACAAATCATACTTTAAAAGGTGCGAGCTACGGCATAAGGTGTACAAATCATACTTTAAAAGGTGTGAGCTACGGCATTTGGGGTGCCAAAATGCTGAAAGCCGATGTTGATCACGGTTTCTGCCCATTAAACTTGGTTTCCGCTACTGAATCAAAGGCTTATATGATTCTCCAATATTTAGTATATATTGATGGGTAGTTAACAAGTTTGTAAAATAGAATATCAAATTACTCATTGTTTTCAAATTCGTTCTCATAATCTTTATCAAGGTATCAAATTAGAAAATACAAATCAGAGGCCAAATTGACATGTAGTAATATAATACAAACTCAAGGCAATTGAAGGACATAACCTAACCAAATATCAGGGAACAATTATGCATATAAATGAAATTCATCAGCACAACTTCAGATCAAGGAATAATTATGCTTAGAAATGAATTTAATCACCAAAAATTCAGATCACATAGATTTTGAAAATCGTCTAGTAGAGAGATAACTCTCAATTTGGTTATCACACAATATATGCCTAACTGTGATTCAGACAATTCCAAGAACTTTCAGTCTATACTCATTTCCTCTAAGCTTCTCTTCATTGAGCCCAACCCCATGTGCCCGACTATAAATAACAGACTTGATCATGAACTTTCGAAGATCAGGACATCTAATCTTTTGGAAGTGGAAAGAGAAAAGGACTCAGTGACAGCCTGCTGTGTCAAGTTAAAGAGCACAGAAGAAAAGCAAATATCTCCAGAAGGAGAAGGAGATAGAAAAGAGTCAAAGTCCAGCCAAGGGAGATGGTATAGACTAAACTTACAAGTATAAATAAGGAATGATAATGTGATAACAGAGACAAGGGAATTCAGATTGAT